TCAATCCCATCAAGGTCTTTATTTATTTATTTATTAACATCAAGGTCCTCAACTGACAATGACCTTTTTGTAAAAAGAAAACAAAAGATTCACAATATTGATTTGGGTAAATTTAACGTTTAACATTTAAATTATTTTGGTCCGTTTTAATATTTAATATTTAATTTTTTTAAAAATATACTTAAAATTTAGTTTTTATATTATTTTAGTATCCCACTGTTAAAAACTTTAGTTTTTATTTTATTTTATTATATGTGTTCAAAATTTAACGTTAAGTTTTGAAAAGATTGAAAGTTTAGACACTAAAAATGATCAAAACTGATAGTTTAGGTGCTAAACGCATTAAATTTTTAAAATTAGAGTACTAAAATAAAATGAAAACTAAACGTTAGGTATTGTTTTGAAAAATTAAAAGTTTAAGTACTAAAACGGACTAAAATTGATTGTTTAGGTAATAAATGCATAGTTTACCTATTGATATTTACTAGAAATTTTAACGACGGTCTCTCTTGATTCTTTGTCTCCCTCTCCTGGCGTTTATATAAACCTGTGGCATGCATCTTTGTTACTCCTTCAACTCAATTCATCAGCTTTCTTCTTTCGTCTCAGTTTTTGTGCTCTCTCCCATCACTTTCTCTAATGGAAGCTTTTTCATACCCTTTTCTTCTTGACTCCATTTATTTTCCCAACATGCAACCTTCTTCCTCTATCATGGATGATGGAAGCCAGTTCAACTCAATTTCCTTTCAGTTTCACTCACCTCATCACCCTTTCCATGAATCAACTCTTGACCTCAACCGCCGTGAGAGTAGCTGCGTTGTTGATAACGAGCCATCGGAGGGTAGAAAATATGGTAACAATGATGGTAATTCGACGGCTGTGTATAAGCTTGAATGTATGAAATGGCAGACCAGAAATGAGACAACCTTGAATCCTGCTAAATCTAAGGTATTCATGGTGGGTTTTGTAGAGAATAGTTATAGGAAGTTATTCTGTTTGTACAGTTAGAGAGTTTGCTAGTTAGTTTTTTGGTTAGTTAGATTCCTAGTTGTTGTATAAATACAATAGTTTGTAACCTTATACAATCATGAAATGAAGTATACATTTTAACATGGTATCAGTCAGTTTCTTTCTGGGATATTAGGTTATTGGGCTTCTGTTATACTAGCTTGTTTTCATTTCTCGCTTCTGTTTCCCGTTTCAATGCAAAATTCCCAATTCTATTCTTCTGCGTTTTTCCTTCTCTCTTCATTTCTTCTTCTTCGCGATGCCTGCCTCCACAGGACATTTCAGAAATTGATTTCACGCATCTCTTGTATCTACTCCCATATGATACACCAGGTGCTCTTCTCGTTTCTCATCAACTCACCGGCGTCCATGATTACAGTGTTTGGAGTCGATCAATATGGATTTCTCTCCTTGCGAAGAACAAATTAGGATTTATTGACAGCGTCTGTCGCCGGTCTGATTTTGTGGAGCAATTTTAACCACAATGGGATAGGTGCAATGCTATTGTTCTTTCGTGGTTAATCAATTTCGTCAGCAAAGATCTTTCAGCTAGTATTGTCTTCTCCTCCAATACTGCTCTTTTGTGGTTCGATTTGAAAGAAAGATTCGACAAGGTTGATAGTTCTCGGGTCTATTTTTTGCACCGAGAAATTGTAACCCTCGTTCAAGGGGATTCTTCAATTTCGTCATATTTCACAAAGTTGAAGCTTATCTGGGATGAATACGGTGCTTTGGTGCCTCTTCCTTCATGTGATTGTGCCAATGCCCAACAAAATACTGTTAATGCTCTCCAGCAACGCCTTTTCCAGTTCTTGATGGGCTTAAATGAATTATACTCTGCTGTGCGTAGTCAGATTCTTCTGATGCAGCCATTACCAAGCGTTAATCATGCTTACTCGATGCTGGTTCAAGAAGAGTCTCAACAATCCCACTCTACTGGTATATCTTCACTCACTGATTCTACTGTTAGGCGTCAATTTAATGGTACTTGTGACCATTGTAAGATTAAAGGGCAAAAAAAGGATCAATGTTATAGATTGATTGGATTCCCTGCTGACTTCAAATTCAATCGAAGGAAGGATGCTTCAGCTGCTCTTACTGGTCAGCTTGAAGAATCTGTTATTGCTTCAGCTCCTCATATGCCCTCTGCTCCAGTCTTTACTCAAGAACAGTACAACCAGATATTGAGTCTGTTACATCAAACCCCTACTTCTGAGCCCTCTGTTAATCTTGTGGGACAAGCTTCAAGTACTGCTTCTTTCATTAATTGGATCTTAGACACTGGTGCTATTGATCATATTACTTTTGAATTCTCTTGCTTGATAAATCCAATTGCATGTGCTTAAAAGAATCGATTTGTTCATCTACCTAATAGTAAAAAAGCCCTTATCACCCATATTGGTTCTTACATTTTGAAAAATGATTGCATCATTCACAATGTTCTGTATGTCCCTGAATTCAAAAATAACCTTATATCAATCACTAAACTGACACATGAGCTTCAATGTGTTGTTTTGTTTTATCCTGCATTTTGCATCCTGCAGAACATCTCCAGTGGAAAAATCAAGGGGATTGGTAAGGAACGTGGAGGTCTTTACTTGCTCGAGTTTTCTTTTTCATCCTCGGGTTTGAATTCATATTCTAATCATGATTCTTTTTTTTCTAATTCCTCTATTTGTAAGTTTGTTGATCATCATTCTCCTACCATTACTGAACTTTGGCATGCTAGGCTTGGGCATGCTGCCATTAATAAAATTCACAAATTACTTGTTCTTCAGTTTGTCAAATTTAATTCTTGTGATGTGCAACATTGTTCAGTATGTCATATGGCTCGACAAACACATTTACCATTTCCTTTAAGTACCTCTAGAACAGATAATCCTTTTGAATTAATTCATATTGATCTTTGGGGTCCCTATGGAGTTTCTACTCACAGTGGACATCGTTACTTTCTTACTGTTGTTGATGATTTCAGTCGTATGACTTGGGTGTTTTTGTTCAGACTTAAAACCGATGTTGTTATTCATTTAAAATCCTTGTTTCTCATTATTAAAAATCAGTTCACTACTTCTGTTAAGATAATTCGTAGTGACAGTGGATCTGAGTTCTTCAATTTGGTTTGCTCTCCTTTGTTTTCTTCTCTTGGTATAATTCATCAATCAAGCTGTGTTCGTACTCCTCAACAAAATGGGGTAGCTGAGCGTAAACATAGATATTTACTTGAGGTTGCTCGTGCCCTCCGCTTTCATTCTAAAGTTCCCTTAAAATTTTGGGGTGAATGTGTCCTTGATGCATGTTATTTGATAAACATGTTGCCTTCTTTTGTTTTGTCTTGGCGTACTCCATTCGAATTGCTGTATAAAAAGCCCCATTCCTTGTCTCACATTCGTGTGTTTGGGTGTCTTGCTTATGCAACTCAAACACATGTAACCGACAAGTTTGCTACGAGAGCCATTCCTTCTGTATTTCTTGGTTATTCGTCTACTCAAAAAGGCTACCTTCTATTTGATCTTGAAAAAAAAAAGTTTTCTTTGTCAATCGTGATGTTGTTTCCATGAATCTGTTTTTCCTTTTAGCTTTCCTCAACAATCTGATTCCTTTTTTCCTACTCAATCTTATAAGGATGATTTTGAATTCTTGGTTTTGTCCCAACCTCCTGTTTCTCTTGGTGATTCTTCCTCACCAGTTTTACCTGAATCATTAGACCCTCCTGTTATTCCATTGCGTAAGTCTACTCGAGCATCTAGACCTCCTACATGGCTACAAGATTATGTGCGTTCCAATCAGTCTTCTTATTCTTCCACCTGTAAGTACCCTCTTATTCATAATGTTTCTTATGCTCATTTACCTATTCATACTCAACATTTTCTTACCATCACTTCCTCCATTGTTGAACCACAATCTTATTCTGAAGCCATTTTAAACCCTGTTTGGATTAAAGTCATGCAAGAGAAAATTCAAGCCTTAGAAAACAATGCTACTTGGTATGTAGTATATTTGCCTCGAGGAGTGAATCTCATTGGTTGTAAATGGGTTTTCCGTGTCAAGTATAGAGTTGATGGTACAGTTAAGCATTTTAAAGCGTGTCTTATTGCTAAAGATACAATCAAGGGAGGGTGTTGATTTTGTTGAAACCTTTTATCCTGTTGTGAAGTTAGTTACTGTTAGAATTGTTCTGACCCTTGCTGCTATGCATGAATGGCCTCTTTTCAAATGGACGTGCACAATGCTGTTTTGCAAGGTGATATATTTGAAGAAATCTACATGAAGTTGCCTGAAGGTTTTAGCAGCCAGGGGAGAATATGGTCTGTCGGGTAAAAATCTCTTTATGGTTTGAATCAAGCCTATGGAATTTAAAGCTTATTAAAGCTGTAGGATATCAGAGCAAATTTGACTATTCGATGTTCACAAAAAATGAGGGTGAAAAATTGGTGGTGATGCTCATTTATGTGGATGATCTCCTTTTAACTGGTAATGGTTCAGCCTTGATTAATGAGCTGAATGATATGTTGAATTACAATTTTAAGATGAAAGATATGCGAGAGTTGAAACATTTTTTGGGATTTGAGGTTTTGAGGTCAAAGGAAGGAATCGTGTTGAATCAAAGGAAATATGCTCTAGAATTGCTAAAAGAGATTCGTCTTGAAGGAGTTAAACCAACCATGACTCATTTGGAGCAGAATTTGAACCTTACTTCCACAGAATATGACGAACATTTGCATTAAAAGGGAGATGAAGTATTGGTTGAAGAAAAGTCAATATTTCAAAGGCTGATTGGAAGATTAATATACTTAACACATACTCGGCCATATATTACATTTGCAGTGCATCATCTCAGTCAATTTATGCAATAACCAAAGAGAACACATTTAGAGGCATCATTGAGAGTTGTCAAATATTTGAAGAAGGAACCAAGTCAGGGGATACTGTTGAAGAAAGCAAGAAAAAATCAGTTGTTGGCATATTGTGATTCAGACTGGGCTTCATGTCCTATGTCAAGAAAACCAGTTACTGGTTTTTGCATAAAGTTAGGTGATTCTTTGATATCCTGGAAATCAAAGAAGCAGAATACGGTAGCAAGATCCTCAGCAGAAGCTGAATATCGAAGTATGGCAGTTGTTGCAGCTGAAATAGTATAGTTAAATGATTTTAAAGGAGCTACAAACTGATATTTCGAAACCAGCAAGGTTGTATAGTGATAGTAAAGCAGCTTTGCAAATTTAAGCAAATCCAGTCTTTCATGAAAGGACTAAGCACATTGATATAGACTGTCATTTTGTTAGAGACAAGATACAAGAAGGAATAATCAAGGCCGAGTATATATCGTCTTCAGAACAACTTGCAGACATTTTAACTAAAGCACTTGGAATACAACAACACAATTATTTGGTGGGCAAGTTGGGGATGAAAAATGTTTTAATCCCTCAACTTGAGGGGGAGTGTAGAGAATAGTTACAGGAAGTTATTCTGTTTGTACAGTTAGAGAGTTTGTTAATTAGTTTTTTGGTTAGTTAGATTCCTAGCTGCTGTATAAATACAATAGTTTGTAACCTTATACAATCATGAAATGAAGTATACATTTTAACAGCTTTCAAAGTAAAATTCTTACGCTTTTCAATGAAGGGTTTCTAATTTATCCTTTTTTTATTTGTTCCGATCAGGATGCAAAGGGAGTGAAAAACAAGTGCAAAAATGGCATGAAAATTGAAAAGAAATCTCCTCAAGAGCCTCCAACAGCTTTCGTTCACGTAAGAGCAAGGAGGGGCCAAGCAACCGAAAGTCGCAGTCTAGCAGAAAGGGTACTTTAAGTACGCAATTATTTTAAGGGTTCAAGCCCTTTAGTCTTTTCAATCATTGTTTGTTTCTGCAAATGGAATTGCAGGCAAGAAGAAAGAAGATCTGTGAGAGGATGAAGATACTGCAATGTCTGGTTCCAGGGTGTGAAAAGGTATGCATGCAGATATGTTCATTTGTCTTAACTGTGTCACAAATCATTTGCCAGACAGCTTCCATGTGCGGTTCTTTGGCATGAACATAGGTAACGGGAAAGGCCCTCATGTTGGATGAAATTATCAACTACGTTCAGTCCTTGCAAAATCAAGTAGAGGTATACATATTGATTCTTTCCTACAAAATAAGTATCCATAAGCAATAATTGTGTTTCGTGGTCTTCTTTATTCCTCCCGTATAGTTTCTGTCGATGAAGCTTGCTTCCGCGAATTCCATGTTCTATGACTTTGGAGTGGACCTGGAAGCTTTAATGGTGAAACCAGAGGTAAAAAGGAAATCAAATGGAAGATAGTTTTAGTTTATTTCTATGTTGTCAATGTAAAAGGTCATTAATTTATTACAAAAGCTGATGAAAATCTTTGTCTCTGACATGTATAATTTCACCACTTGCTCTTTTACTTCACCAGGGCCAAAACCCCAGTCTCTGCTCACCCTCAGGTCAGTATACATACACACACACACATGCATATGTGTGCGTGTGAAATAAGAAAAAACATATGTATCGTGAATAAGCTGGCAACACAATTTTTCAGGATAATGGAAGTGTATCGTCAGGGGAAAAGTTATCATGTAATACATATTCTCATGATATATATATAATCCAATTTATATAAAATTTCTTTCATATTGTTACGTTTTTATTAAGTTGACCCCATCACTTTATTTTCACATTACTTTATATAAAATTAGAAGATTCATATAAAAATCCAATTTGTTGTTTGTTTTCAACGGAAAAATACTTTATTAGCCTAAAGTTGACGTTGAATCTCTTGTATTTCTAAAATGAAAATGAGTTCATTCATAAAATGTTTTTGATGATTTTGGTTGATACATCTATCTATAAGATAATTATGCATGTGTTATCAACCTGTAATTTATTGTTTGTAAGATTATTTATTTAAATAATTAATGTAGGGCAAAACTTTCAGATTATGCAATCGAAACAATTATTATTAATGTTAACGAATTTATATCTGCACGAATCAAAGTGGCCTCTGTGATAAAAGAATTATTATTATTTCTTAAGGACCCGGGTTCAAACACCATAGATGCCAAGGGTGTGAACTATCAATGTCGAAAGGTTGAGATTTATCTTTGAACATGTACTACTATGTACTTACCCCATATTATTAAAAAAAATAACGAATTTATGTCATAGGTTTTAGAGATAATATGAAAATTTATCTATATGTATTTAATAGATCTTATAATTCATCTACATGGTTCATTGGATAATAAAATTTATATGTAAATATTTGAAAGATTTAATATCCCAAAATAATGTAAAGTGGGCACGTGTATTCATAGAACTCTTATTTTGTATTCATGTTTATAATTGTAAGTTGTATTATTTTGGTTTTAAATTAAGTAGAGTTCCGATTTATAAAAGTGTTTTTATAACTATCACGTATATTTATTTTGGTACCATTCAATATATTTTAAAATGCAAATTAATAATTTTTAAAAATCAGGAGTTACCTTGATAGCCCAATATGACACTTTAAGCTCAATTAATTTTAGAGTATTACACCTACACAGGAGACATATTAAATAAAAATTTGATATGAAAATTCAGTATTTTTCAAAGCCCCATCTGCCAATAAAGTTGAAGGAAATTAACACCTCTACAAACATCTTGCTTCATCTCAATCTACAACACTCTCACTCTTCTTCTTCTTCTTCTTCTTCTTTTTTCTTCGGTATTTATCCCCTCAAAACTTGAAGAATCAAAGCATGGCCATGTGAAAAAAATGTTATTGAAACAATACACTATTGATCGTGTAAAAGATTATAAATATTAAGATTTAAATATAAATTAAAAATGTTAAGTACTTTGGAAAATAGAAAGAAAGAAAAAAGTAGAAGTTATTTTCAATGTTGATAAAGTCTGAAATATATTGACAAGTGACGTTATTTTTAGTTTGGTTGATATTAGTTTTTAGTTTGATTCTAAACAATTCTCGAGGTCTAACAAGGTCCCGTTTGATAATGCTCTCTAAAAACATTTTTAGTTAATTTTTTTTTGTTTTTGGTTGCAAAACTAATACTAGAAGGGTAAAAATAAAAAAAATACGGTGAAAACAACGGTTTCAAACAAATCGTAAAAACTAGAATTTCTACTTTTTCATTCAAAATTTGCATTTAGAAGAAAATTTATATTTTTACCCTTATTAATACATGAGCTCCACTTAATTATTATTTACATTTTATTTTAATACTTTAAAACAAACATCTTTAAAAAATAATTTATTACTTTTAATAGTTTGTTTTAATTATTTAAAATTAAATAAAATTCATGATTTATATATTTAAATGTTAATAGCGAGTTATATAAAATATATTTTTATTATAAATATATTTTATTTGTATTTTTATATTTTTATTATAGTTTAAATTGATATAATTCATTTATAATAATATTTTTTTTAAAATTTATTATAGTTTAAATTGATATAATTCATATATAAGTGTAAATATAATTCAAGTGCTATACTTTTAATTTACAATATAATATCTATAATATATATTTAATCTTTTTAAACCCACTTTTTAACAGTAATTTTAAACAATTAAATTTTAATTTACACTTTTAAATAATATTTTTAAAATTTCGTTTCTAAAATACTTTTAAAATTCACTTTTTAAAAAGCAACGTCAAAATGAGACATTTTTCCCGAAATATCACCGGTGATCGGTATATTTACCGATCTAACACCGGTCATATTATATTTCCCGATCTAACACCCGTAGCAGTAAAGCGCGCTCCCTGACCCATGCTATATGCTGATTTGGCGCCACGTGGGGTATAGCGCGCCCCCTGCACCGCGCTATACGCTGACTGGGTTACACGTGGGTATAGCGCGGCCCCTGCTCCGCGCTATACCTATTTATCTGACACGTAGGGTATAGCGCGGTGCAGGGGGCGCGCTATAGCTTTAATTACCCGGCTGTTTACACCACTACCCTTTCCTATAAATACCTCATCCTCAATCACTTTCATCATACCAAATTCTCTCAAATACTCTCTCGCTTAAGGTATATTTTATAATATTTTTAATATTCTGTATTTAATTTATTTAAGTATTTTACTTTATTTAATATTTTATTAATATAAATTTTTTGCAGATATAATGGAAGGCAGTCTACTTCGCTTGGATAGAAATCATATATCTCGATACTTTGCTGATACGGTTCCATTTTAATGTTTTAATTTAATTTAAATTATTAGTAATAATTTGTTGATTTATTTAATGCATATTATTAGATTAAGAATTAATTTTTGTAATTATTTATTTTTAGGGGAAAGACCGTATATTAGATCATTTTATTAGGAATCTTAAGTTAGTGATACCTAACCATGTCTTGCCGTATTTAGTAGATGTGGATTTGGTTACATAGGTAGATATCAAGGTCACTGTAAGATAGAACTAGACCTTATTTCTGCCTTAGTAGAGCGGTGGAGGCCGGAGACCCACACATTACATCTTCCGTGCGGAGAGTGCACGATCACGCTTGAGGATGTTTCTATGCACCTGGGGCTTCCGGTGGATGGAGATATGATATCAGGGATAGCTTCCGGTTCTTGGACTACTTTGTGCCGAGAAAATCTAGGACGTGTCCCGGAAAGTTTTATCGGAGGTAGGATACCGTTAAATTGGTTAGATGCCAATTTTTGGGAGTTGAGCGCAGACGCCTCTGAGGATGAGGTTAAGATGTATGCACGAGCATGCATATTGCAGTTGATAGGAGGGTTGTTGATGCCGGACAAATCGCGTAACCTAGTTCACTGCATGTGGTTGCGACATCTTAGCGACTTTCGTCTCGCCGGATCATTCAGTTGGGGCTTGACAGTTTTGGCTTTACTGTACAGGGAGATGTGTGGAGCCACTGACTACAGGCGTAATGCTATCGGCGGATGTCTCCTGCTGCTGCAGTCTTGGGCATGGTATCGATTGCCCTTTTTATACAGCGTATAATTTTTTTTCCTTGAATAGGTGGTCTATTGATAGAAAAAATCATCAGGAGCTACCTAATGATTTAGAAAAAATTAGGGTGCTCATCGATCAGCAGGCTGGCACACAAGTATGAATTTTAATGTTTAAAAATCGATTTTAGATTATAGTTATATAATTAGATTATTATTTTGATAAAAATTATATAATATTTGTTTTAGTTTGAATGGGTGCCATATTGTACTGATGATCTGAGGGTGTTGATCTCACCTGAGTTGAGGGGCCCATTAGATGTTTGGAAGGCGATGGTCTCTCTGATATGTTATGCGACCGTCAAGTGGCACTCTACTGATCGCGTGCTCGGCAGTTTGGTTGTTTTCAACCAATTCCGGAAGTACCTCGCAATATGGACGAGTTGCATAGCTTAGATAGACGCGGCAAGATAGATACAGATTGATTGGTGAGGCATCATGAGTGGGTTGTATTGTGGGAGGATCGACATCAGCGCCTTCCCCGTAGAGAGCCCATTTTGATGACCTCTTGATGTATGCTGATGGTTATTATGAGTGGTTCAATAGTAACGGGAAACCGTTTCTGCTTCCCGAGGATGCACGAGGGCAGACCTTTCCACGACGTCGACAGAGATGTGATCCGACACAGCACCATCGTCCCCCGACTCGTGGACGGAGAGTAGGTGCTTCCGGTTCATCCTCAGCTGCACCAGCAGGACCTTCAAAGCAGCCACCACAACCATATATGTCGTCATCGCCTTTCCATTACCAGATGCTGCCGCCGCCTTCACATGGTTTTATGACCCCGCCGTCGCCACCGTCACAGATGACCCCTCCTGGAGGCTATTATGGGTCTATGTTTGCAGATTCAACTTGGGGTTCATATACTGGATATTTGGCGGGTTCACCCATGGCTGTAGCACAGACACCTCTTGTACAGTTTTCACACTCAGCGATGTCTGGGTTTTATGAGTTTTCCCAGTTTTCGTAGGCCGGTGGGATAGTCAGTCATACACCTCCAGGGTCCTTATTTTATGGAGGTGTTTCATCGTCATCAACTCCTCATCAACCTAATGTACCTGCTCAGGACGACGACGACGACGATGATGGTGATGATGATGACATCGAGGAGTCAGAACCAGTGATATTAAGAAATCATCCTCGAGACTGACAGCCACCGCCTTGCGGAACACATTCGTGTCGCATGCATCGATAGATTTTGTTTTTTATTATATTTGTATTTACTTTATTTTGTTAAATTGTAATTTTTTATTATTTCTCATTTAATACTTACTTTATTTTGTTAAATTTGTTGGACTTTTTTTTTTTAATGTATTTCAGTTTATTTTGTTTATTACAATTTAATATCAGTTATTGTAATTTGATTATCATTTACCATTTAATACTTATTGTAAGTTTGTTGTATTTAAAATTATATTCAAATACCAAATTGTTATTAGTTTAATAAAATTTAATGATTGTGTTCGTTTTTTTTAATCTTCATCATCGATTATCGAATGTCATTAACTTGAAGTAAATGCAAATTAAAGTACAAGAATTATTATTTGATAAACAAATACATCATTTCCTCATCAATTGTTACTGATGACAACAGAAGTGGACATGTTTTTCTAGTGTGTCATGGGTTTTACAATGCCCACATCTTCTGTCTTGTCTAGATCTTTCTCGAATATCCATATCACAATGAATTCGATTGGATTTTGGACGACCACGCTCCCTCATTAAACTTGGATTTGGTACAATCGAAAACCAATCTTGAACCTCATCAGGGTCTTTGTCATTACCTATGGGGGGAAACTCAAATTCGTATACCTTAAAAACTTCAGATAGTAGGTATACGGGATCCACAAAATGGTTATAGTCTTGACGTGTATGCGAGCAAGCTGCTATCACATGAGAGCATGGATACTTCAGAGCTTGAAAAAACCCGCAGTCACACGTTCTGTCCCTTAGATTTACTCTTAACGACACAACTTCAATCCCTTGAAGAGGTCGCGGTAACTCTGTGACACAAAACATTTCATGCCTTCTAGAGAAGCTTGTTACAGACATTCCATTTGATGCAACAATTTTTTTCTGTAGATCTGCAACTAATTTAGGGTGATAGACATGACCGCCTTGTATCCAGGTTTGAGCTTGTCCCCCGAGCTTCGCAAAAAGTGCCCCCAAACGAAAATATGTAGTTTTTACCAAAGCCGATATAGGTAAGTGACGTGCACCCTTTATGGTTGAATTGATTGCCTCAGCCAAGTTGGTCGTCATATATCCATATCGATATCCACCATCATATGCATTCGTCCACATTTCTTTATCGATGAGGCTAATGTAATCGTATCCTTCCTTGTTCTTCACCCGTAAATCTTGAAGCATTGATTCAAACGTTAGAGGAAGAAGTTCGTAACCTAATCAAAAATATATAACTTACTAACCTGATCAAAAGGATCGAAAGAAAACAAACTACATCAGTTTCACTTACCCATGCGCACAAGTAATTGACGCTCATCATTCTTCTTGTATCTTCCATGGTAGTTCGCAGCAATGTGTCGGAGACAATACCTATGTTGGACAAAGGGTGGTTTCCACATTGGACCCAAAGACTCCATTGCTGCTTTGATCCCAGCTCCGCGATTAGAAATGACACAGATTTTTTCCCTCGTTATAACATGTGCACGTAAATTTTGGAGGAAAAAAGCCCAAGAATCTGTATCTTCTCATTCGACAAGAGCAAAAGCAACTGGAAGAATGTTGCGATTTCCATCTTAGACAACTGCCAATAATAAAACTTACTTGTATTTTCCATACAAGAAAGTCCCGTCGATCTGGACCACAGGCTTGCAGTATTTGACAGTATTAACGCACTGTGGGTAAGTCCAAAAAACCCGGTAGAATTAGCATCGATCGCGGAGAACTCGATCATTATGGTATGCATAGGAGGTTTCGAAGTCCACAATTATCCCAGGATTCAACCTCCGCACCAGCCTGAACCAGCCTGGATTGTAAGATGCATCCCATTCTCCATGAAGTTTGACAATGTCATTTTGTTTTGCCAACCAAGCTTTTTTATAGGAGACAGTGTACCCATACTGCGATTGTATAGCTGAAATCAACACTGCAACAGCTGTATGAGAGCTTTCTTTTACCATGGACATGATGGCTTGGCATATTACTTCAGAGTCCAAGTTGGGATGATCTTGGTTGAACCCTCCAGCACAACATGTGTGAGGACCCTTGTATACTGTTAGTTCCCATATGTTGTTTTTCCTCTTCATTTTCGATACGCAAACCATTCATTTGCATCCATTTTTGCGTCGGGTACAGTAGCATACATATTTTTCGGTCGTCAATCGGTTACTCTGGACTGAACATAATTACGGATATTATAATTTTTTATAGCCATCACTGCTTCTTCTTTGCTTGAAAACTCCATGCCTAAATATATCTCACCATTATTTATTAATAAGTAATATCCATAGTCACCGAAGATGAGGCATATCCACAAATTCTGGCCCGTACATTGCACCATAATCAACTTCATACATGTGTGTAGGAGGGTCAGTTTGTGCCACATTTCCTGGAACTTCATCATCATCAGAGTTGAATTGCGGTGATTCTGGGTGAATGAATAGTCCAGTCTCAGCATCATCCGTACCAGGCTCACAAAGCGGTTCTTCTGGTGGAGATGATGGTTCCTCCATGCTCTCCACATTTAGGTCAAAGAACATACTACTTGCACGCCTTCCCCTTGAACTGGAAGACATATCGACATTGAGATCGAAAAAGCTCGCAGTCGAATGTCTCCCCTGGAGCTTGAAGCCATCGTGTCAAATGGAAACTGCACAGATGGTTGCGTCGATGGCATCTCCATATGGTCAAAGAAATTTACAGATGAATGCCTTCCCCTTGAACTGGACGCGGTGTTGCCATACGGATTGTTCGTGGACCCACCTCGGTACATATCGTAAGGAGTTGCGGATGAATGTCTCCCCATTATGACATTAAAATCATTACACATTACTGTAGTCGGGCTGTCAACTTGATCAACTTGTTCAGCCAGCCCATAGTGGGAGCTTAATGATTGACCCCGAACAGCACGCACTTAAACAAAATGTGCATACATCTCAATAGCGACGTCTGAATAACTACTTTGAGCTTCAACCATCATTTCAACATCATCATTGTTCGAAAGTTCGAACGCTGTATAAGTTAATGGCAACAATAATGTTGGAAATTTATACTGCAACGACGATATTCTTCTACTACTTCCAACATGAATCTTCCTCGAAATCTTCGTTATCAGCTCCTCAAGAGTTATGTTTCTCTTGAATGATATTTTAACACGCTCATTTGATACGAAAACAACGTCGGTTTCATCTTCTCGAATTTCACCCATCATAATAAACAATAGCTGAAAGTCGCGCCATTCTTTGAGTTTAAAAGTACGACAATATTATATCTGCAAAAAAAATAACTGAAACAAACCTAATTAAATAAATTATATATGAACGAAAATATAACACAATAAATTTTTACACATCAACGTAAATAATTTAAATAATATAATTGAAAATAATTAGTATAATATTTTTTCAAATGACACAGATTAAATAATAAGTATAATAAAAAAATTTATAACAAAATTACCTTATAACGAAAAATCGCACGAACTTCTAAACTAAATATGAGAAGATTGTCAAAATTATTGACTCGTTGACGGAATTATTGTATTAATTTATAAGTTGAGAGGAGAGATGTGAGGAACATAACCGGGGGAGAAGGATATATATAGTCATACAAGACGCGGTACCTATACCGTGGTATATGTAATAATGGTATAGCGCGGATCAGGGTCCGTGCTAAATATAATTTTCTACACAGATATAGCGCGGTTCAGGAGGCGCGCTATACCCCACGTGTAACCCAGTCAGCAAATAGCGCGGTGCAGGGGGCGCTATATCCCACGTGATATCAAATCAGCGTATAACGCGGGTCAGGGGACGCGCTTTACTGTTACGGGTGTTAGATCAAAAAATATAATCTGACCGGTATTAGATCGATAAATATACCGATCACCGATGATATTTCGAGAAAAACGTCTCAAAATGGTCTAATACTTTTTACGCCAATTTTTGTTAAGAAAGGTCATTTTAGCCTTTAATTTTTTTAACACTCGAACTGTATTTTTTTCCCCAAGAATGCGGAAACAGAGGGAAAATACAGTGGCATCGACGATAACAATGATTTCTACTTGGAGAACTCGGAAAGTCCCGTGAAAAGCCTGAGTCCGGTACATTCTTTGGATAATCGTGTCAATGACAATGAAAGGGAAGTTCTTTATCACGGGAGTAACCGAAGGAGGCCAATTCGGGCTCGGGTTTTGGATGGGGTCAATTTATCTGGGCCATCCTATACCGAAATAAGGCGGTGCGAGGAAGATGGAGTTAAAATATGGTTGAACAGTTTGGGATTAGGAAGGTATGCCCCAGTTTTCAAGATCCATGAAGTGGATGATGAGATTTTGCCATTGTTGACATTAGAGGATCTCATGGATATGGGAATAAATGCAGTTGGTTCTCGAAGGAAAATGTTTTGTGCGATCCAGAAGCTTGGAAAAGGCTTTTCGTGATGTATTTTGCTATGGTTATAGAGTTTCTGAAAGCAGAGTCTTGTCAGCCATGGCAAAGTAAGAAGATTTTTGTATGTTTACCTTTTTTTTTGTAGTGAAATGTAGGAGAATCAGTAGGATTTTTTTTTGTTAATGTTGCAACTTTTTTTTTGCAGTGCATTGTGCTAACTGTTGTTTGTTGAGAATTTTAATTGAAAACAATGAGATAATAGCAGCTTTTCTTTTGGTTAAAGGGAAGTGATTTGACAGAAGTAAGACAATTTAAATCATAATCTTATGGTTTTCTCGTTCCTTTTTATTATCTTTTTGCGATTAAATGTGTGTTATATGGGGATTATCATGACATATTGGTACTGAAGATTGATATCAAGGACTTCTCAAGAAGTATTTCTTTAGAAATTGTTGTAAGATTTCTCCATTTGAGCATCATTAATAGCTTGTTATAAGGTTATATGGTGATTATCCTGTGGTGAGTATATTTATTCACGTCTCAAGTACTTTAATTTAGTTACCTATAAGTCCCCTTTCATTATGCAACTTGTGTTTTAGGATAACTATTGATGTTTGAATCTTTAGTTGGCTAGTCGATAATTGTTTCAGGCATAATTCTAACCGTTTGAGCATTCTTATCGGTTTAGGCTTTATCGTTCATTATCTTGTGTTGATTATGTATAGTATTGCAACTTTAAGTTCCATAAGATATCATAACTTTCTACGGCCTAGAATTCATGGTATGGATATCTAATTCTAATTTAAACTCTATTAACGTTTTTTCTTTACGCTTCTCGGTCTTCTCTGCGATTAAGTAAGCCTTACCCAAGTCTAGTGAATGTGCAAACTCACAAAGGTTGGAACCAAGTTCTCAAGGCTTCGGATTGCGGAAGCTTTTAACACCAACGTGGCTATTCCGAGCCACAAGGTCGGACTATCTTTGTGGCTAGGAGTAGCCACACTCGTGTTAGCACTTCCACACGATAGTCCGACCTTGTGGCTTGGAATAGCCACGTTGGTATTAAAAGCTTCCGCAATCCGAAACCTTGAGGGCTTGGTTCCAACCTTTGTGAGTTTGCTCACTCACTAGGCTTGGGTAAGGCTTACTTAGTCGCAGAGAAGACCGAGAAGCGTCAAGAAGCATCTAAGGCCGCACGACCCGTCAGACCTTGACTCCGATATTCCGACGGTTTGAGGCGTCGAAGTTCTGAGGGCGTGACGACTCTCGTCTTTTTTCCTGTCAAGTTTTATGCTGATCTGTTTGGTAGTCTTGCCTAGATGGTCCTACCGTGGGATTTTATCAAACACCACTCATCTTTTAAAGCTTTGCAGATAGCATCTCGAGCATGTGCATGTCTCTACTCTGCCGGGAATTCATTTTTTTGTAGCATGTGTTAAAAACACGTATGATATATATATATACATATATATGCAGACAGGAAATAATCTCCATCTTGGTGATGACTGTGTTAAAACCACTTCTTACTAAGTGGCTAAGCTTGGCTTGGCACAATTAACGATGACAACTGATGAAAGGAGGAGATTTGAGTCTGGACTAAAGGGAGAAGAGGCCAAGCATTATCAACATTAAATTCTTGTAGGTATTCACTTTAAATGGGAGGATGGTAAGTTTATTATCAGCATGAATGCTTCTGCATGGAATGAAATTTGCAGTAAATGTTATTGGGATCCGTCATTTTTTGGGCAGATGATGAATTTTAAGTAAATTTGATGAATCACTCTTTTAGCTAATATCCATTAGACATTGTCATATGTTCAATTGATCGGTCCATTAAAGCTATTTCATTATTTTACACAGGCTGTTGAAATTGGATTACTTTGTTTGTGGGCATAAATTCGATTACTATCTGTTTGAATATTTTCCTGCAGCTCCTATGAGAGAACTTGGACAAACTGGAAGCCCACTGTTATGTCTTTCCCTTGGTGTGCAATGAAGTGATCAACGGTATTAGTTTTACGAGGAACATAATTAATTTGAGCATTCCATCCTCTACCAGAATCCGGTGCAATGCACTAAGGAAGAATCATGATATTGCTGTTTGTTGTTGAATAGTTTGACTGCGGCAGTGCTATCTGTCTCGATAACGGCAAAACGAACTTCGCTAGTTATACATTCTACAGAACCTGCTCGAAGCACAGCGAGAATTCAACTTCAGCCAGTTTTCGAAACCTATCACTCCAACTTTATTGTGTCTTCCCCTGGCTGCTGGTGCTGCAGTTGCTTCTCAGGCTCAGCAGGGATTTATGCCATTCCATCGGAAAATAATTATACATACACAATACAAAAAAATATCACATATCGATACGAAATGAATACAATAATTATTCATCCACCTCGTCAAAGCACAAAGTTCGAATACACATTCCTTGTAAATGATAAAATCTTAACATGTATTATACAGTGTCAAAACCGTCTTTCGGGTAGGCCTGGAATTTGGCTTCGACTTGAAATAAAATATTGGAGTCGCCACCGATCATTTATTTTTCGTAAAAAATTTAGTTGATCGGATATCATCTTACCTGATCTGCGTTTAACAGAAATATATCGGATTCGGGAGTTGGTTACAGTCAAGGAAGGATTAGTACCATTGAACTGCCCTTTCGGTACCATTTAATTTATCGGTTGTCTTAATTGCAACAATTATAATTAAAATTAAAATTAAAAAATTCGATCCAAATTACTTACCTTTGATTGATTAAAATTATCCTAAAAAGGATCATAAATAAAGTAAAAAAATAAAACAAACAAACACAAAGAGTTAGTATTAAAATTGAAATAAAATGGAGTAAGTAAAAGGAATAAAAGAAAGTTCGAATTAAAAAAATTTAAATTGGAAAGGATTAAAATTTCTGGATCAAATTAATTATAGGAATGAGCTGCAGGGGAAAAGCAAAACAAGAGATTAAATAGCAAAAGAAAAAAAATTAAAAGTACTAAAATGGCACAAATATAAAATTAAAGGATTAAAATAGTATTAATAGAAACTAGAAGGACTTAATAAATATGAACAAATAATATCCTAAACAATCAATTTAAAATAAATACATGGGCTTAAATTATAATAAAATCTAATTATATGGATTAAAATGCAATAAAACAAAAGATAGTAACTAAATAAAATAAATAGTGACTAAATTCGAAAATTATTAAAATCAATATGCATATTCGAAACACATAACAAAGTATATAACCAGAGTGCAAAAGACATGAAAATAAGGGAGCTTAAAGGTGATTTTACCATAATAGGACCAAAGCACAAAACACGTTGAAAATGAGGACCTTATGTGTGATTTAACCATTAAAGTATGTGAACAAAACATAAAGCACCTAATATCTGGGGACCTAGTGTGTGATTAGCCAAAAATTCCAAGGAGACATAATATCTCCTCTGTTCATTTTACACGTGAACCAGATCCCAATTTCTTCATTTCTTGCCTTCTCCATTCTTTTCCTTCACCAGCGCGACATAGCAGCATGGCGACCAAATCTCCAATGAACTCGAGAGTCACACCGACCACTCGACTCTAGATTCGACGACGGTGACACCCCTATTCCAACTCCGACGAACACCGCAGCAAGGTAACTTAACTCCCTATTTTTATTTTAATTATTTTTTTTTGAACTCATGGAATTTATGTTAACTACGAACAAAATATAAACTAATTTTTTTATTATTAGTTACATTCGAATTGAATAAATAAATTAAAGAAACTGAAATATAAAATGAAATAACTTAGGATTGCTGAAAAATTCTGTATTTTATTGTTATTTTCATTTGAAAAACGAGAGTCCCCCTCTTTACATTTTTTGTTCGGGTTTATATAACTTGAATTATACATTTTTTCTAGTTTTTTTTTTCAACATGTTTGAAATTGTTGGGTGCCTTTGTTAACTTGTGGCTTGTGGATGAAGCGGTGATAGTAGAAAAATCGGTGAGTATGTTGTAATGATGGGCACCGATTATTTTTTGTTAACTTGGTAATATTGGTATCGTGATCTCCGGAGATAAATTACTGGGCGAAAAGTAGTGTCTACATACAAAAATCAAAGTTTAATTGTACATACCATTCTACAATGAATCTAACATATATCACTTAAGCGAGCACTAAGATTTCAAGATTTAGAAACTACAAAGACATTCTATAAGAAAATTTACAAAATAATAATAATAATAAATAATCAAATCAATGCATATAAAACCAGATCTTCTAGAAACGCATAGTACAGACTATTTGCATGATTTGATCTTTGTACTGCGGGTCACATGGAATAAAAGTCAAGCTTGTAGTTATGTTTGTATTTATGTATGTATTTATGTTTTCTTAATGATTGAATTATTCCAACCCGAATTATTATTTATTTATTACCCCTTAAAACAGATTTTTATTTTTTTCAATTATTAAATTAGCAGTGAGTTTGAGTTTGATTCAATCATTATTCCTTAATAAAAGTTAAATTGTTTTTTCAAAATCAAATCATATAGAATTGAAAAATCCTAAATAACTAATTATCTCATTTTTTCTCAAGGAAAAAAAGAGAAAAAGAAAAAGAAGCCAATCGACAAAGATAGTGGGCGAGAATTAAAAGGACTAAAAGCGTAAAAAATAGTAAAGGAGGAACATTTTTGTTGTTGGGGGCGTAGGGTTTTGATCGAAGGAGGAGAATTCAGAGAAGATGATAGACTTTGCTCGTGTTCAAAAGGAGCTACAAGAATGTGGCAGAGAGAAGGACTCTTCGGGCATTAGAGTCTCTCCAAAATCAGACAATCTTGCTCGCTTGACTGGCATCATTCCCGGTCCCCTCGGAACTCCCTATGAAGGCGGTTCCTTTGAAATCGATATCACATTGCCTGGTATTTCATAATTACTTTCCATTTCCTCCTTTTTTTTCATGGGTTTTGTTTTGTTTCTTATTCTAGAGTTGATTTTGTCCTCTTGAGTTTAGAATTTTGGCTTAGTATAATGGGTTTTTTGTTGTCTAGTTTTTCGGAGAAATTGTGAAACTTTGTCCAGGTTTAAATTTTGAGTGTTTATCTGAATGTAATATCAATAAATACTTTCAATTGGGTGATGGTTTAAGTAGAAGTTGCTGTTTTTGAAATAGAACGTATAGCTAAATATTGGTTTCTAATTTGCAGATGGTTATCCTTTTGAGCCTCCAAAAATGAAGTTTGTGACCAAAGTTTGGTAGGAAAAAGAACAGGCGCCATCTTATTTGATCTGCACATCTGTTATTCATTTGTTGATTGTGCTGGATAGTTGAATTGATTTTATGGTAATATAAATGTGGGTGTGATAGATTAGCAGTAAAGATTGTATTTAAAAATGGTCTAAGGTTCCCTAAAAATGGCCTATGAGAGTGAAGAAGCTGGTTAATTGCTCTTAATTCCACTGTGGTCCTAATCATAGTTTTTATGGCATTTTCTTATTTTTTCTGTGCTTTGTTCCTTATATAACTTGATTGGATGAAACGGTTGATAATCTTGTTCAATTCTTTTAGCCATTTGCGCTGATGAAAAACTTCGATATCTGAAACTGAGCAAACTCTTTCTGAAATCATGGTTTTGCTCTCTCTCACTCAGTGCTAGCTGAAACTGAATGAAATCTTTCTGAGATCATGGTTTTGCTTTCTATATTTCTAGAGAAATAACTCTACATAACATGTTAAACAATGTCCTGTCTTATACTGCCCAATAGATATTCAGCGCCATATGTAAGCGTTCTTGTTGTTACAGGATGTTTGAAAGAAGAAAAGAAAAAGTAAAATGTATTCTGTTGCCAATGCATGTTATTGCAACTAGTTCGAGTTAGTACATACGACTGTCTTTCTCTCTTCAGTATGTTCTGCATGTCAATTTCCAAAGAACTTTGTTGAATGAGACACTATAAAGAAATGCCGTTGAATTTAGGAGTCAAGTGTTGGCCAGTTATAGTCTATTATGTTTGATGCGTAGAGATGACATGACTAATGATCAATCAAGTTTTGAAACTTTCTTTTGTTCTACGACACACCAAAGGCACCCAAACATTAGCAGTCAAAGTGGGGCAATATGCTTGGATATATTGAAGGACCAATGGAGCCCTGCTCTCACCCTTAAGACAGCCCTTCTTTCCATTCAAGCTTTGCTCTCAGCTCCTGAACCTGATGATCCTCAAGATGCCGTAGTAGCTCAACAGGTTTGGTTTGCTCGATGTCTAATCTTTCGTATGCTTCTTGATAAAATGTTTTGTTGTTAAATATTTTATTAGCTTTATTTGAATGTGCAAAGTTTTTAGATTATTTTACCCTTGTATGTCATCAGTCCAGCTTCAATGCCTGTTTTTCTAATAATTTCCATTAGTCTTTATCACTCTCGCTAGCTATTTATCTTTTCCCCCTTTTTTTTGTTTTTGTAATGCAGTATCTTAGAGAGTATCAGACATTTTTCAGTACAGCTCGTTACTGGACAGAAAGTTTTGCCAAGGCATCTTCTTTAGGGGTTGAGGAAAAGGTTTGTACTTATTTATCTTGGTATTCGTAGAATCAAGTAAATATTTCTTGCGAAGTATGCTCTGAGTAAATTCTCAAGAGGTGACATCATTTTCCATGTATCAGATGCACTCCTCGAATATATATTTTGTTAACGGATCAATATTGTCAAATTTTATATTTAATGAACTAAATTAGCTAAGACAGAAATTGGATGGGTACAGGTGCAACAACTCGTGGAAATGGGTTTTCCTGATGGTTTGGTGAGAAGTACCCTAGAAGCTGTTGGTGGTGATGAAAACCTGGCCCTTGAAAAGCTTTTGTCCAGCTGATCTGTGTGCTGGAGCTGCCAATTGTTCTACATCTTTTAGCTATTCTTCACCTACCTGGTGAACTTGAACACTATACAATGACACAAAGGATTATATCTGAATATAAGCTGTTTTTGTTTACTATGAATTCTAATTCCGTAAATTACCCTTTCTTGTCGACTGTTATTAATTTCTGCTTGATGATGGAATGTTGTTATTTGCACTTTGTTGTTAAACGGCAGCTTTGAGTTGCCGATACTGTTTTTTTCTTGAAGATTACGAGTATGATAAGTCCTAACCTTGTAATGTAATGAATCAAAGTCTGAATTGTATGGAGAAGAATGATGCCTGATTGAATTTCTGTTTTTTGTTTTTGGAATTACATAACTGTGGGCCGTGTCAGTATGCAGAGATCAAACCGCCGAGATCCGAGAGGATCTAACGGGTATCCTGGATCCGAATTTAAGACCTTAAAGGCATTAGACATTTCAAGCATTTCCCCTTCATTTCTTTTAGCTGTCGTATTCTTTAATCTATTCATTACATTCGAGTTTATCAACTGCATACAGTTCCTATCTGGTAACTAAGGAAAGAACATTGGGATCTCTTCATTTACATTTGTTTGACACCGTAATCTACATTGTTGCTGGGTTTTCAGTAATCAAATGTCGGTTAAGCCCTTGGCCGCCACCAAAGATGAATAATAGCATGATTTAACTTTGAGAAGGTTCTTTACAGGTCTTCCCATGGGTATCACCCGTCTAAATCTCATCCCTCTTCTTTCTCTCGCTATCTTGCTTCCCTGTTCCTGCAAGAATAACAAAATCCCAGAAATCCGTCAGATTCTGGCATCTTTTTTTAATGTATTTAGTGACAATTGCAGATCGAAAAATCAATTCAAATCATGAATTACCTGAGTATATGTTTGGGATTCAACGGCATCGGTATCACTGAATGTTCCTTTGGTCGTCAACTCGGTAGATGTTGGGGGGTTCAACGGCATCAGTATTGCTGAACGGCCCTTTGATCATCAAATCATCTTCCCCTATATGCATTAAAAAAATTATGGCTTGTTTATAAACATTGGGTTGGAAAGGAAAAAGAAAAAAGAAACTACTCGAATAATCCTCTTCTCTGTCGTCGTTATCAGTAAGGTAAAATCTAAAACTTGGTGATCCAGGACAAAGGAGATTAGCAGACCGTTCTTTCTTAAACCTTTCTGTTTCTTCAACCGTCTTATTATTATCTTTTTCTTCCGATGTTAGCTTTTCCATGGCCGAGGCCTCTGTATCTATCGACTTATGAGCTTCAACATCGTCCCCATTTCCCTTACTATCATGTCCTCTAACATCGTTATCAGAAACCGCGGCTGCTATTTTCGAAGACCCGATGCTATCGCCAGCAGGTCCTCGAGACGATACGGAGGCATTCTCGGAGCCAGGATTGAGCAGCATTTGTTTAGAAAGATTAGAGTGGCTCCGTCGTCTCTTAAACGCATCCATTTTCTGGCCAAGAAGAGACATCACTTTAGCCTGCACCCTATCCTTTTTACGGTATAGCTTTGATGCTTGACACCCCATTGATGGCAGAAAAAGCGGCTAAAGAGAAGTGGAGAGGAAGCCAAATGGATGATGATAAATTGATAATGGTGGCCAAAGGGGTGTTTTAAGAGCTTATATACACATATATGCATCTTGTTCTGGAAATTCAACTGTGGGGGAGTATAGTTGTTTATAAATCAATATGTACCGTTGATTCTTTTGTTTGGTAGTAATTTTCTGTTGTTACCATATGCTGGTTTGCTCATTTGCTAACCGTAACCAGCAACAACATTTGGCCACGTGTTTTCGGTTCTTACCGTTACTTCGAATCGATTTTGTTTAAAGCATTTAGCAGGCACCGCATTCTTTTGCCAAATGGTTATAATTGTTGAATTATAAAATATCCATTTTATTTATTTTTATAAAAAATATGAAATTAGTTTTAAAAGTTTTGGCGTATTACGCGTTGGGCGAGAATTTTGGATTTATTTTGTTAAATCAATTAATTAAAACTCATATCTAAACATTATTTACGAAATAATTTACATTAGCTGGCTTTAAATTTAAAATAATTTCTTTTTGAAATTCAAGTTATCGACTGCAATTTTTTGTCTTATTAGAATACTGTTTGAAATGATACGGTGGATTAAAATTTCTTTTAATTTTTATTTTGTTATTAATAAAAACACTACAATAAATTAGAATTACAACACATGAATAAAAATAGAAAATTAGATACAATAATCACCAAAATACTTATACAAAAATACAATATTAAATCTAAAGATACGTAAAAACAAAACAAAACATTCTATTACGAATGACGACCAACATAAAAAAAGCCAATAACATTCACAAAACCTCATTGTCTCCATCAAATGAGACGTTTTACGAAGTGATAAAAGAGTGGTGAGCGGACCAAACTATTTGACAAGATGGTTCGCTATTCAATTTTGATTACATCGACAAACGACCTTATACCAAAGAGGTGATATGATTATACGTGATCACCTACAAATCAATCAGAAAATAAATATCGTGATGGTTTTTGTACGAGCACCAAAACGACCGTAAATGTATGTGAACAACGTACCAAAAACCATAAGGATCGTGCCAAATGAGCAGAGAAAATGTGTGTCACAAAAGCAAAGAAAAACATGTCACAAAAACAGAGATTCTTATTCAAAACTAAAAAAACTCAAGAAAAAAATAAAGGATAAAATATAAAAAACAACATAACTTATAATCACTTGTGATTGACAACCAACATTAAGATTGGTTCCGCTAGGGCTATATTCGGTTCGATTTTTCACTAAAACGTGAACCGAACCGCACTTTGCATGTTTTTAAAAATATAAACCAAAACCGTATGGCATAAAAACTATGGTGTTCGGTTCAGTTTGACAGTTTTTTATTGTTTACTATTTTTCAAACTCAACCTAAAAAAAAAGTAAATTTAAAGGTTAAATAAAGTACAAATATATAAATTTAAATTTATTAAAAAATATTATTAGTTTTAATATGTTATTTATTTAAATTTGTCTTATAATAAATTCAATATGAATGTGTTTTGGGTACTTATTTTTTTTAATTCGGTTCAAACGATTTACATACGAAAAAATTGAAACCGAGCCAAATTGTATATTTATTTTTTTAAATCGACCTTTAAATTGAAAAACCCGAACCAATTTGTCCAAATCGAATCGATTTTTTGATTTTTTCGATTTTGTTGTTTAGTCCTAAGTGTCGTCGTCGACTAAACAAAAATAAAAAAAAGGTCATACAAAAGTATTGAGAGAAAATTAGGTTGGAAAAAAAAACTCCTAGGGTTTTTCTTTTTGACTTTTAAAACCGTTATATATTTCAACACAAAGTAGAGTTTAAATTTTTTGGGTTAACTTGGGAAACAATTCAGGGCTATGACCAATAGCATAAGGTTACTAATGGGTTTAAACTGGTCGTTTGCTTAGTCCAATCCATCTATTTACAGTCTTTTCTTAGGGCTTTTGTTAATTTTTGTTGCATTTGAAAGAGTGTTTTAGGCTGATATTTTCTTCTCGGCTGCCGTTGCAAAAAAGCAGTGCTAAATTCGGCCTTCTACAGATGGATCCATCAGCTCTGAATTCTCCCGATCTGCAACGATTCCTCAATGTATCCTCTCTCTCTCTCTCTCTCTCTCTCTCTCTCTCTCTCTCTCTCTTTTCATTACCGAAATAATCTGTTAATTGCTATGATTTCTGTTAATTTTATCATCCAAAGTTCAAATATGTGTTGATTTTGATTTCTTTGTAAAATTATTACTATTTAAGTCAGAAAAGTAATGCTGTTAGTTCCAGTTTGCTCTCTTTATATATGACTAACGGTCTTTTTCAAGGGTTTTTGCTATCGAGCATCTTAAGATTACTCTTAGGCATATCATGGAATTTGAATATGCTATTATTTGAATGTAATAGATGGAAGCTTAGTCGATTAAATTTCAATATAATAGATAAAGATATTGGTGTGCATAGTAACCTTGAAGTGCGCTTTAAGACACTCGTTAGCAGCAAAATGTTTTAAAAGAATGGTTCCATGTAACATTAACATCTTTATCAGAATTAATATTGTTTGTCCATTTTGTAAAATATTTTCTTTCATTTTGCATCAAAACACTGTGTATCAAAACTATCAGATTCTCGTTTGATTGTAAAGACAGTGCCAAATTGTAGTATTGTTTATTTATTCTAGATTGTGTTAATGAAACCCCAAGCACACTGTCTAAGGTTAGTTTTTGTGATTATAGTAATTTTTTCAACATGGTTGATAAGAGTTTATATACTAATTTTAAATCCAATGTGAGAAAATATTAATAAACTAATAGAGTGCTCTCAGGACTTTTCAGTGCAAAATTCATTTACGATTATGGTATGTTGTGTGAATGATTTTGATTAGCATGTTTTATAGGAAGGAACTTTGAAGGAACCTTGAAAGGAACCGGTAAAAGATAAGGGTCATAAGTTATAGCTAAACATTATTTGCATATATTCCCATGCACATCTTATGGCCCTTCTAGGTTGGGAAGGCACAAGTGTGTCATAATCTTCTTTTGATTTGTCTCGAGCCAACTTTGTGCCGTCATTCAGTGTGCATGAGTTGGTATTCAAGTAATGGGATCCTTGTACAAATCTTTGCCCCACCCATTATCTGAAAATGCAAAATAGGGAAAAGGTAGGACTAGGCATTCATATACCTTTGAGAAATTTATTCAGAAAAGGGAAGTGAAAAGACTTATTTATTAATTGGTATAGATTGCTTATTGTTGTTAAGTGTGATGGATTAACAATTGTTGAAATCGTTTGACGACCTTTGCTTTAGTTGTTTGTAATAGTTAAATGCAGCCAAATCCAGTACTTGGAGAAGATTAAAATCTTGCCCTTTTTGGATCTTGATTTATTTTGTTGTGGCTATGCAGCAAGAAAAGGAAAAGGCCATGGTCAATGAGATGGTGGCAAAGCTTACAAGTGTGTGCTGGGACAAGTGCATCACTGGCACTCCTGGGAATAAATTCAGCTCCAGTGAATCAGCTTGCCTTTCTAATTGTGCTCAACGGTTCATGGACCTGACTATGATCATTATGAAACGCATTCAATCCATGCAGTAAACAGATGCTCGGATTGTTCGCTTTTCCTGCAAAATCTGCTGTATTTTTTTAAACAGGTGCTTGGATATGAAATTCCTATACGAGGACATCTTTTGCGTAGAGTATTCTACAAATCATTCGTCTGAACTTTCATGTGGTCTTAAACAAATGCTTGTTTATCTTAGAAAAGAATAACGAATCTCACATTGGTTATGTTTCAGAATTAGTCTTGGGATATAATTGTTCACACCGTCAACTTGTGAAATCTCAAGTATAAACCCGTGCCATTACATCGAAAGCTCTAATTTACTTTTGGGGAGGAATAAACCAACCCCAAGAAATTGTATTAAAATAATACGTTACACTTACAACACAGTTTAGCATGTAAAAAATTAATGCATTTGTTTCCGGCAATACGCACCAATTTTCTGCTTTTTAATACTCTCCTTCCATTTTTGCCTACTGTTTATTTGACAGTTTATTGTTTCGTATTGTTGATTCCGATTTGACGATTTAGTATTGCCTAGGATGATTAATGATGTCATGCCCATCTGTGTTCTCCGAGGGAAGGATCGTGCTTAAATCGGGAGAAACGTTGGGCAATCTGCTGTCCTTGTCGATGTAGTCGACATCCAGTTGTTGTCCTCCATAATCACTTGATCTCCTAAAGCCTTCTCCCAAACTGGCTTTCTCCCCATCACGATGTCACCAAATGTGTTCCCCTTGTTCGGACAGATAAAACCTCCACCCGTTGTTATCGTTGGAATTGCAGGTTCCTTTGGAACCTTTTCCCTGAAGTTTATCTTGGACGGATGTATACTGGTGCAAAAATACCTCCACGAAGTTCTTGATGACCCCTTTGTTGTATGGATTCTCACGATGGTTATACTGATATCTAAAGTTCTCGTACGTAGAATGCCAGAAGTACAGAAAAGAACTCGATCAGTTCAAGCCTAACAAAATGCAAAGCACTTCAAATAGAACAAGAACACAAGATTTAGAAGCATAAACAATTAGTCTTTCATTTACAAGTAAATAATGTACGTTTAAACAGATTCGACACGCTAAAATTCATGATCTTGTGATACAAAACATACAATGATCTGAAAAACAAAATATTACCTGGTTTGTACTGATTAGATACAAATGGAAGACGGTTAGACCTCCAATGAACCACACTGAAAAGGTGTAATTTATTAGCACAATGGAGGCAGGGGTTTTGGTCATCGCTCTCCAGATCGTCGTTTCCTCGTCGTCCATGATTCTCCGAATATAAATCCAGCAAAATCCGTGCACATATAAGCAAAGTAGAGTTGTAGAGAAGATGAACATGAAGAAGAATTGGTAATTCCGCTGCACCAACCCAAGGACATCACCATCATACGTGTTCCTATACGAATGCACCAATGCAAGCCATAGTTAACATTTATCAGGTTGTAAAGGATCTCGAATCGTGCCATGAAAAGCCGAAAGACTAGATAATGTAGAAGAAAAAGCAGAGAATATTATTTGTAGTACCAGTCCGATACACTGACCGACCCAAGGGCAGTGGTGATCAAATCTGTCGACGCGGGTATTGCATATCGAGCAATGAGAACTTCGGGGAGGTCTATACAGCATACAAGTATCGCAGTACTTGATCTTCACACTTATACCATTGACAAACACATCCTTCGTACGCGGTAATCTTAACGGCGGAGTTTGGCCAGCGCAAGCTTCAGTCATTCCTTCATAACCTTCCGGCTCGGGAGGGTTTGAGTTCCGCGGAATTATATCGGGATCTCTCCCCAAGGTTAGCAGAAGAGGTGTTATATCCTGCGTACACATAAATCATCAGTATCTCGTTAGATTTGCACTGATTTTGGACCATGAAACCAATGATCACAAACAAGTTTAAATAACAATTGATTTAAGGACACAAAATGAAAGTTGAGTATTGAATGATAATCCAATTGATTTATGGAATTAGATAAGTATTTTGAAAAATTTGAAATTATGAAGGAATTATGTTTTAGTTTTATATCGATTTAAGTACCAACTTTAATTGAATTTTATATTTAAGTTTATATTGTGTTAGTTCGATACTAACATAGAGTTTGAATATTTTATGATATTATATGACGTTATCAAACCTCGATAAATCTAGTGATCCAAGTATCTCTAGAGGGAAGGAAAAAGTGCGGGATTGAGAAGATTATCGTAGAGAAGGTTCAATAGTGTGGAAAAGGTGAGTGCATAATTAATTTGTACTTATGTTATCGAACGAACATTGACTTGCGATGAGCCAGTGACGGAGTTATTATGGTAAGAAGTGTCTCCAAAATATTATGTGATTTGTGATTCATGCATATATGTTCATTTGGTAAGCTAAAAGAATTATGAAATAAGTTAAGGATGCAAATTAAGGAAAGGTGCCTAAAAATTATGATTTGAGCAGTAAGTTTAGAAAATCACCATAAATTATACAGAAGTGATTAGAGGATGATCTCTATACTGTTGGATTTGTATACCAGTCTAGTTTAGTTTAAAACAAGCATTTACTGATTTCTAGGAGTTTACAAAAAGATATGAATTTTTAATCGAGGATAGGTCAGAAAACAGGACAACAAATTCTGCTCAAAATAGTTTCTGTAAGTCAGCTTTGGAAATTCGCTATAAATTGTACAAGTTGAATGAAAAGAAGTTCCTTATATGGTTATATTTGTATTCGAGTCTAGTGTTCAATGGTATAAACATAATAATTTTTAAGTATGTATATCAATACAAAATAATACTTCTTTGAAGGTAGTGCAAACTGCCAAAATATGAAATTTTGATAAATTATGTGGTTGAAGCATTTGAAAGCAATGATTAAATCTAAAGCTTAGCAAGGCTTATATTTTTAACTTATAAATAAAGTTTCAAAGTGAATGCAATTTATTTATTTAGCTATTCTGATTGAGGATGACTTGTGATAAGTCAACCTCGTATGTTTAAAGTATGGTTTCTATTTTAAATATGGATTATTTCCATAATGTTATATAAAGTTTTATGGAAGGTTTAGGGTATGAAATGTCCCAGTATGATTTTATGATGATGGATTTTAAATGATTTCAAATTATGAAACGGTGATTATTAAATGAATAAGGTATGATATGAAAGCCCATTGTATGTTGCATTGAGAGTCGTAGGTACAATTGACATACCATGAGGCAGAGTGATTCTGATTATGATCTAGTATTTGTGTATATTATGTATAGCACCATGGGTGCAGATGATATAATTGTACTTGGAGTGCATAGTATGATTTTGATGAAAACACTAAAGTGCTTATTGCGCACACTTGTCTGACTCACGTACCTTAGATTCTCTTACATATAAATTGAGCTATAAAATTAAATATGAAAGTTATGACAAGAATCTGAATGAAAAGAATATGGAAATGAGATGAAAGTACTAAAATATGTACGAATAGAAAGAATATGAATTGTTTATGATATTTGATGTTGATTCACATGATTTTTTTTATATAAAATCATGAGATGATGATTTTCAGGTTTTCTAGAGAAAAACAGCTTGAATAGCTCGGTTTGAAAGATTCAATGATTTTAATTAAATTACAAATTTATGTTTTATAATACTATATGAAATATTTGTTTTATCTCACTTTAACTGTGTTTTTGCCTCACTAAGTTTTTACTTAATGCTTGATGATTTTCATGCAAAGGTTCAGATAGAGAAATGAACGTGACATATGGAGCCTCCTGAGCATCTTTTCAGAAAATCATACCTAATATCAGTACCAATAAGTCATCTTATATTTGACTTATTAGTGACATGTATATTATATCTGTATGTTGTTTTATCAGATTTGTATTTTAAATGGTTTCCTAATTAAGCAGTGTTTAGACAATTTAATATAGTTTATGAAACAACACTAATATGCCTAATTGTTGCCTAAAACTGGATTTGTTTTAATGATTAAATAATATTTTTATAATTTTACCTATTAATGAAATAGTTTTAAAGTTGATAAAGGATTTTAAAAAAAAGAAACTAAGTTTTAAGCATTTATGTTCAATGAATGTTTTTAAGTCGATGTAATATCTTTAACTCGTATTTAGAGACATATATTGATTATGGGTATTACAAAAATACTCTTTTGCATTATCAGTTCACAATATTTGTGAAAATAATCTCAAATATAAGACTTCTATTAAACTGAAACAACTCAAATCCTTACTTGAGAATATGATTTTAATCTAATTGAATTGTGATAATTATATTTTAAAATTAAGAATGGATAAATGGAATTTCAAATAGGTTTATACGTATAATAAAACGTGGCCACCTTCCTTGTACTTTCCTCTCCTAAACCACCATTTCCATGGCTATAAATATAAATCCCAAACAGCTTCTTAGAACGTGGGATTAAGATAAAAATATATACACATTTATACATCATCATGGCTATTAATCTTTCTTGGGTTTTCATTTTCGGCATTCTAGGTGTATGCAAACAAAATGATGTGATTTTCATGTTTTGTTTTCACTACAGCAAAACATGTATATAGCGGCTTTTTCGTGGCGTTTTCACTAAATTATACATATCGCGGCGTTTATATCCAAAACGCCACAAAATGATACATTAACGACGTTTTTCCATAACCGCCGCTAAAACTCGTACTTTAACGCCGCTACATATAAGTTCTTTAGTGACATTTTTAAACAAATGCTGCCACAAAATCCTACTTTAGTTGCATTTCTAAACAAACGCAGCAAAAAAAGAATCGTTCTTTAGTGAAATTTTTAAACAAACACTGCAATAGGGTACATATATTGTGGTGTTTTTAGACAAACACCGCTACAACCTAGTACTGCAAAAGAATCATTCTTTAGTGGCGTTTTTGAAACAAACGTCACAATATGTTGAATTGTTAGTGGCGTTTGTTTGAAAACGTCGCGATAATTTATTCTATAGTGGTGTTTGGTTTAAAAAAACACCGTAAAGTATTATAAATACCCAAATCTTTATCATTCAACTCTCTTTTTGTTTCAAACATATTTCCAATCCCTAACCCAGCACAGCACCAGCAGAAGCTAGCATCGTTGTCATTGCACTCTTCTGGCCAACCACCAGGTATGTCTTTCTTCGCCTCACCCTACTTTCTTTCTATAACAATCAGCCAAACGAAAGTTGGGTATTTTTTTGGGCGTTTCTTTGTTT